TGTCGTGAGCCCCTTAATTGCCATTTGGCAAAGTCCAAGTACACTGTCATATACCTTTTACTCAACAAGGCTTCTCTCTAGCTCAGGGGGCTCCAACCTTTTTTCTCTGAGAGCTCCTTTGACATAATGAAAGGGCCTGAGAGTTACTCATATCTATATTACTGGTTAAATTTATTCACATATCGTGTATAGTGTAACTCTTCACTGACAGCTGTTTGGTGGACCAAATTATTGGTGTTGAAGAGCGGTGGGAGGTCTGTGTATTGGATTAAATTGCATTTGGATTAGATTTACTGAGTGTTGCTCAAAGTTTGTACTATGCATCCATTATTTGTATATACTATATTCTCTGAACCTTTGGGTGAGTGACTCTAAAATGGAGTTGCTACTTTCTGAAGCAAATGTGTATATATCATTAAGTAATGCTTTTATTTTCTGACTTGTTACGCTGTCTTTGTTCCAGATAAGGCACTGAAGGACACTCTGGACAAAGTGCTGCTGAGTGGTTACTTTGACAGGGCGCAAACACACCAGAATGGGACATGTGAGCAGGAAGAGGAACGAGAGGAGCAGGCTGTGGTGGTTGAGTCTAAGGCTGGGGAGCAGCCATCAGAACCTGGTAACTTAAAACCCAGTAGCAAATATGTGTGCAATGTGAGATATTTCTTTGGCCCAGTAAGAAAGATCTCTTTACATTTGCTTCTTTTCTCCAGAAGGAACAGCTACTGAAAAATACACAGAGCCCATTAAAGTGGAAACCACAGAGGTGAGATTTCTATTAGTGTTGCAAAAATTCTGCATGATAAATCACACAAATCAGCTGATTTCTTTTTTTTTTTTTTTTTGCTGCGTTCCATTTTCAGTATGTTGTCTTGTGTTATAGTTTGTAAACAGACAGTTCATTCCAGAAACTGCGTACAGCAGTACAGACAAAGACCAAGTGGAGGAGTGGGCAGTGGAGGCTCAGGTATGCGCCACTACAGTACCACAACAGTCCTAAACATCACTATGCATATTTCAGTGTACTCTAATGTGCCTGTTTCATGTATTGTGTGTTGATTAGATGGTGAATTCCCTCCAGCACCAGCCCCCTGCCCAACTGGCTCCAGAACCAACCGTTACTGTGAACCATGTCACTCCCCCTCCGGCCACAGACCCAGTGGTCAGAAAGCAGGCAGTGCAAGACCTCATGGCCCAGATGCAAGGAACGTACAACTTCATGCAGGTGAGAAGGTCCAGCATATACTGTACTGTCCAGCTCAGCGCTGTTACTGAGGGACACCTTATTTGTTATACATACATTGAGATACTTAATTGATTAATGTAGTGAAATCTCTGTCTCTTTTCTCATGGAGATGAAGGTCAAGTACATAGTCAGGTACAGAAAAGGACTCTCTAGTACAAGTGCGGCTTGGACCTAGTAAGAAACTTCAGTGAAAATAATCATCATTTGTGGGGCACAAATTACAGTGTCTCACACATGGCAACCAACTTAGAAATCAGCAATAATACAAGAAAATGGATAAAATGTAGGTAAAAGACATTAAAACAGGGCCAGATTGAAAATAGAATAAGATAAAAGAAATTCCAAGTGAACAAGGCAAATGCTTTCTGGATCCAGATCTTTCAGTTAAAGAGTACTTTATTACCACACAGCCTCGGGATATAATCCATGACTCAGCAATATATGTACTTTTGTTTTGTTGTCTTAGGACTCCATGTTGGAGTTTGACGGCCAGGCTCTGGACCCAGCCATTGTGTCTGCCCAGCCTATGAAGCCGGCGCAGACTGTTGACCTGCAGCAGATGGGCTGCCCCCCAAGTCAGTGACTGTTCATTTACTTTTATTTGGAATACATTCTCTCAGATTATATTAATAAGAGTCTGATCACTGTTTTGGTGTGAATATATGATCCTAAAAGTGTAATACACTGTAGTTTCTGAAGTGCTTCTCTTTTTTATTGTCTTCCAAACAGCCCACTCAGAGTCCAGACTTCCTCAAACAAGTGTAGTGTCGGGACCACAAGAATCCTCACAAGTAAGTAGAGTGGACGTACAGCAAGCAGTTGGTGAGACTTGTTTTGATTTGTGCATTGAGTGGTGCATCCATTTAATAACAAGAGTAGTACAGGTTATTTCTTGTATTTTTGGGCCATATTTTAAAAGTACTGCTATGTGGATTAATTGTAATGCTCTCTGATATGTCATGATGTTATTTACTGTGTATTACCGGAAGTTATTGCATATAGTAATAAGGTAGAAGGAAACCTTTAAGTAAAAAAACATCCCATCTCTTGCACTGACCTCTCCACAATCCTTGTTTCCTTGCCTTCCGAAATACCTCCTTCCTCCCGCCCCAGGCCTCGATGTCTCTTTCGTCTGAGCAGTCCCCTGCCCCATGTTCCCTGTCTTCTGCCTTCCCACCTGTCTCCAAACCCACCCACACTGGAGGCATCAATGTCAACGCAGCACCCTTCCAGTCAGTGCAAGCGGTACGCTTTCTATCTGGGTCCAGTTGAACAATGCAACAGTGAACACGTTTGGACTTTTTTTTTTTTTTTTTAATTCTGGTGAAAACTTCAAGGTTCCTTACTTGTTTGCACAAGCACTGGTTGATTATTGGTGCACCATCTACATGGGCAATAATTTGAATGCCCCCTCATTTCCCATTTATATAGAATCTGTGATTGTGATATTGTTTTGATACAGACAACTTTTCTGTCCTCCCTCTGCAGGTATTTAATATGAATGCACCTGTACCTCCAGCCACTGAAGGCCAAGCAGACCCTCTGAAGCAGCCCAGCCAGTTCCCTGGTGGCTATGCACAGGGGTTTAGCAGCCAGTCAGAGAATACTGTGGACCAGCCTGACATTGCACAGGAAACACTACAGTCAGGTGAGGCTAGAGCTTTAGCTGGTTGGCAGTTTACACACACTTGAAAATCTATTGACATTGTTTGGCATCACCTCTACAGTCAGCCAACACTAGAAGCATTAAGAGAAAATTAACTCAAATTTTAAGGTTGTGTACATTTTGTGTTTTGTATAGAACCTCTGACTCCATAAAAGACAAATGTTATCTTGTATAAGCAGGATTGTTTGCACAAGGAAAAATATATCAGGATTTCAGAAGGCTTCATTCATAGTTTTGCCTTTGGTGACAGCGAAGTTGAAATAGTTGATCTGCATGCTGTGAAACAAATACAAAAGTTTTTTCATCTTGTGCAAAGTTATTTTGTATTTTAACACAAAACTTCATAACTGACCGCTGACCAGTGTACCATAGACTTATAAAGTCGTCTGTCTTGTTTTCTGCTGTCCAGTTGTTGGTGGGTTCAAGCCTCAAGACCAGGTCATGCCCCCAGCAGGAGGCCATGAGGAGTCCTCTCCAGGTGCAGGGTTTGGACAGTCTGGCCAGTCCTTTTACAACAGCAGGGCTGTTCCCAGGGGTGGACCCAGGAACGCACGAGGCATGATGAATGGATACCGGGGGTCCTCTAATGGATTTAGAGGTACAAGCATCAAACTGTGTTTTACAGAGATACAGTATATTCAATATAAGGACACAATACATGTTGGAGTTTTACAGGTCCACTGATAATGTAATTTGTCATCAGGGGGATATGAAGGCTATCGTCCTCCTTTCTCAAATGCTCCCAGCAGTGGTTATGGTCAAACCCAGTTTAACACATCTCGGGACTATTCTAATAACACCTACCAGCGGGTAAGGGTTCCTTTCATTATTAACTACTTCATGTATCAAATAGCTCATATAATATCTTATTGACTGTCATTCAGATCATTGTCATTACATTTTAAAATTTGTAAGATGGCTAATAATTGTGAATCCTTGTTTATTCAAGGAGGGATATCAGCAAGGCTACAAACGGGGAGCTGCCCAAGGACCGCGAGGTTTGTCTCGAGGTAATGCTCAAGCAATGCGATCCTAAAGGATTCTAAGGACCGTCAAGTCGCGCCACGTTGAACATTCAGGATTTTTGAATGTGTTCGCCCCAGCTCACTTTTATAACAATGTTTTGTTTCTCATTGGTAATCTTATTTTTTTAACTCCTGGCCTACTTATCAGAGTCAGCCTGCTTTGGTCTGTCTAGATCCTCTTAATGTTTTAACACAAAATGCTGAACTTCGCCACATGTAGGATTGTCAGCATGTCTGTGTGATGTAAAACAACAAATAGATATTCCTGTAAACTTGAAAGATTTCATTAATTTATTTTTTGTACAAAATAAATGCAAAAAATACCCTGCCACTGTCGATCTAGTTCCATGAGAATGATTTTCTTCTGCCCTGTGCTGTCAGTCACCTTTTCTTTTTGATCTTATAATTTTCACAAAGGCATTTAATGTTTTTTTTTTTTTTTTTTTTTCTTTTTTAACCCCAGTCACCTCTTGCGCCATCACCTCTTTGTACGCTGATGTTATTGGTTGAGACTGTTTCAATAAAGTTGTGTTCTATTACTTTCTGCTATTTTAATTCTGAATGTGTTTACATGTCACATTGGTTTGGTTGTTGAATATTGGTAGTGGTTTGGTGAGACGAGTGCAACCTGTCACTGAGCCCTTCAAACCCATGACAATGAGTACCAGTAGTCTGTCCTCTGCCACAAATATGTAACTGTAAATAAATTCAATGTGTAGCTTTACTCTCGGTAAATTTTAGCATCGTTCAAATTACTATGATGGCACACATCTTTGTTATTAGAACAATGAGACGATGCCAGTGGAAATTGGTGCTAACAGCCTGTTTGTCCTCATGTGGCATGTACTACAGATAAACAGGCAATTAGCACATGCCTTTAGAGGCACAACAAATAAACTTGGTGAGGACAGATACATCACTTAAAACCATATTAAGTACATTTTACCATAGTCATACTGAATAATTCTATTCAAACAAATAAGTGCTTCACATTTTTTATGCATTGTACAGCTGGGTTGTCGGTTCTTACCTGTTTCACCAAGTGGTCAAATCTTACACAAACTGAAAGGTCAAAGCTGTTTTATTATCTTGAACTGAGGTGTACAGTATCATCAAATTATTATTGTATCCAGCAGCAAGCGATCAGAAACACCACCTGTATATTTTGTGCAAATTATGATGCGGTATCTTTTCAAAGGAACACTTGGCACACAGAAAACAAAAGACACTGCAAAAAAAAAAAGAAAATGTATTCCATGTCAAAATTTTGTATGAAGGAAAACCACAGTAAGGCAGAGCTGTTATTTGACTAGACAAAGTCTTCAGTAAAAAGTGGCAATAAGTCAAAACCTGTTCAGCATGGCATCAGTCTACCAGCTGGAAGAAATCACATTACACGAAAAAAAAGCAACCTGAATAGCACAGCAATTACACCAAACTGTTCGTTTGTGGGAAAGATACACAACGTTATTCAAACTAGGACCAAGTAATACACATCTGGTGCCAAACACACGGATGTGAACTGAATTCAAAGGAATTAATTCAAAGATTTTCATTATAGCAGACTTTGACTTGAACATACAATAAAAGAAATGCTCCTGTATTTTTAATGTGACACTGTTAATGTCTGGCTTGGTTCTTAGTGGTTCTCAGCTTCACCCTTATTTTAATGCAATCTTTTAATTAAATGAACTAATTTAATGAATCCAGCAGCTTTAGCAAAATACTCTGATGTCGACAAGTGTAATGAAAGGTACCAGAGTAAATGTCTATATCCTAATTGTTAAATGAGCTCAACATCAAAATGGTGTAATTAAACAAATTAAAAATCATGATCAATTATGATCAACTCATAAATAAACATGGCACATACACATTTGTGTATGAACAATATACCAAAATGGAAATGTCCATCATATTAAGTGTAACAGAGCAAATTTATTATTTCAGAGGGTCAACATTTGCTCTCTCTGTATGGCAATGAAGAAACATGCCATCATACTGTAACTAACCACAAACTTCCATTTAAGCAGCTGCAAGATTTAAGGTTGTGAGGATTTAGGGAAAATGTTAGTTTGTATGGTGATTTCACAACCATCTTTATTTTAAGAACCTAACACCTGTATTTATTTTAACAACAAAGTCAGCAGAGAGTAGCTGCAGTGTGGCCAAAAAATGGCCAGTTTTGAAAAGTCCTGTACCCAATTTCCTTTTAGGCAGAGCAAAACATTTCCTACAGTTGAGAAAACTCAGAAAATATGACTAAACACAAAAAAAATGATGTTTCAAGATAGGTAAACAGTTGACACGTTATAACAGCAACCACACTGACCATTAAGAAAGTAGCAAAAGTATTGGTAAAGTTATTTCTTGACAAAAGTGTATAAGGACTGTGAGCAACCTGGATTCACGAGGATGCTTCTGGTTTAAAGATCAAAATATTTGGTGACAGTGGCAGCTGGAGATGGAAATAAAAAGCATTTTCTACAAAGATCTGACTGACCTTGTAGATTATGACACATATTACTGTGCCTGTTTGCATTGAGAAGTCTTCACTTGTACTTTTTAGGTGTAATGTTTTCTGTTGGGGCATCAAAATGCTGTATACTGGATATAATCACAATAGTGCCTCTTGCTCTTTTAGGCTTATAATGCAATAATAGAAAATCTTGCACTCAATTTCTAAAATATCTGATAATGTCCAGTGAAACGCATTTTCCCACAAGCCACAAATGTAAACAAATTGTTTGGGGATATCTTTATCTTGTCAAGTCAGAAAATTGAAGTGAAAATTATAATATTAAAACTACTTTTTACATCTTATCCCCCTCAGCAGCTGCACTGAACTTCTCCCACAGGCTCTAGCATCAAACCTATCAGGTTGTGGAGCCAGCAGCATTTTTAGGTTCTGTACTTTGAACAGCAAACAGCAGGTCAGAAAAGTCCAACAAAATTAGAGTTTTTTTTTTACAGTTGTATTATCAAACAGTCTTGATCATGTCTAATGTAATCAAACACAACTTAGTATGCACATTTTGAGATGCATGTCCTTGGTTGGTCATTTTACTCTTGTAATTCTGTTATGTAATCCGAAGATTACAATTATTATCAAACACTGGTATCATTCAACAGGGAATCCGTTTGTGCCGCTATCCTTTATCTCAAGTGTCCTCCAAACCCCTAAGTCATGCTGGTTAAAGAGGCCTAATACTCAGGGGGGGCTGCTCCTCTTGCACGCTGGAGTGGAGGTGCTGCAAAAGTCTGGTTATGGAGGCTCAAGTTCTGACAAAGTTGTTATGGCACATTATGCTGGCCTTGTGCGACTTCTTGGTGGCCTGGTGGCAGATCCTGGTGTGTCTGGGGGAGACCTTGCTGGGCTTGGTCTAGGTTTTGTTGTTCATGGTGTTCCTGAGGTGTATCTTGAGCAGCTTGGGGTGCAGCTTGATGCCCCTCTGGTTGTGCGTCTTGTTCAGGATGCACCTGATTGTCTGCTGGATATATCTCTGGGTTAGAATTTCCTTCACCTGTAGCAAAGACAGAGTTTTACATTCTCAGAGCTCAGCCTGTAAAATCAAACAACTACCAAAAGACAAACAAAATGGTGCAATCGACACTCACCGTGAACCTCTGGAGGGGGTTCTACTTTCTGTGATTTCAGCCGTTCCATGTGCTCAACTGCCTGTAACAATGGAGTTTCATGTTAGGTTCTCTCACATTTGGAAAGGGCAAACAGTACTGTGGATAGTCAGTTATTTGATACCTTAAATAAAATATTAAGATAATTCAAGGAAATTAAGTTTTAGTTAAGAAAATGTTGTCACACTGAGATTCCACCTACAAAGAAAACATCTGGTGTCTTGTTAGATGAAACCTCTACAGAGCAACTGCTGTAGTTTCTTATAGTTACAGCATCAGGTTTGGATGTGAACAGTTTTTCTCATTCAGAGTAAACCTTCTGTAGCAAGACTTGTCTGCACTAAAATACAGTTAGGCCCAGAAATATTTGGACAGTGACACAAGTTTTGTTATTTTAGCTGTTTACGAAAACATATTCAGGATACAATTATATAATCAATATGGGCTTAAAGTGCAGACACTCAGCTGTAATTTGAGAGTATTCACATCCAAATTGGAGCAAGGGTTTAGGAATTACAGCTCTTTAATACGTAGCCACCTCTTTTTCAAGGGACCAAAAGTAATTGGACAATTGACTCAGAAGGCTGCAAAAAAAAATAACAAGGCTGCATGGGCTCTTCCCTCGTTAACCTGTCATCAATTAAGCAGTTAAAATGTCTGGAGTTGATTCCAGGTGTGGCGTTTGCATTTGGAAGCTGCTGCTGTGAACACACAACATGCGGTCAAAGGAGCTCTCAATGGAGGTGAAACAGACCATCCTGAGGCTGAAAAAAAGAAGAAATCCATCAGAGAGATAGCAGAAATGTTAGGAGTGGCCAAATCAACAGTTTGGTACATTCTGAGAAAAAAAGAGTGCACTGGTGAGCTTGGGAACTCAAAAAGGCCTGGATGTCCACGGAAGACAACAGTGGTGGATGATCGCAGAATCCTTTCCATGGTGACGAAAAACCCCTTCACAACATCCACTCAAGTGAAGAACACTCTCCAGGAAGTGGGTGTATCAGTATCTAAGTCTACCATAAAGAGAAGACTTCATGAGAGTAAATACAAAGGATTCACCACAAGGTGCAAACCATTAATCAGCCTCAAAAATAGACAGGCCAGAATTGACTTTGCCAAAAAACACCTGGAGAAGCCAGCCCAGTTCTGGAACTGCATTCTTTGGACAGATGAGACTAAGATCAACCTGTACCAGAATGATGGGAAGAAGAAAGTTTGGAGAGGAATTGGAACAGCTCATGATCCAAAGCACACCACATCTTCTGTAAAACATGGTGGAGGCAGTGTGATGGCATGGGCATGCATGCAAAGGATTCTCAACAAAATATTGAAAAGTAACATTTTACTTAGGGTTATGTTTATTTGTCCCATTACTTTTGAGCCCCTGAAATGAGGAGCGTTTGTATAAAAATAGCTACAATTCCTACATGTTTAATCATATATTTTTGTTCAACCCCTTGAATTAAACCTTAAAGGCTGCACTTCAATTCCGTTGTAGTTGTTTCATTTCAAATCCAATGTGGTGGCATGCAGAGCCCAAATCATGAAGATTGTGTCACTGTCCAAATATTTCTGGGCCTAACTGTATATCAAGTAGCAGTGAACCACTGTTTACCTGTTGCAGCTCTATTTTCTGTGCATTAAGTTGCTCCTGTTGTCTCTCCAGCTCGTCTCTCTGTTTCTGGAGGTCAAAAGCCTTCTGGTTGAGGTCCTGTTCCTGCTGTGCAAGATGCTCCTCGAACTCCCTCATCTCCTCGTCTGTGTAAGCCTGGTTCTGCTCCAGGGTCTGAGGAACACAAAGTGGAAGGTAAACTTGCTTTAAAAAAAAAAAAAAAGGTTTTTGGTTTGAATTACTGTCCAATAATTTCAATATTGTGTCTCACCTCCCAGCTGTCTGGCTCCAAGAATTCTTTTTTCTTTGTAGCAACCAGGAACTCATCTAAAGAGACCAGCCTGTCTTTGTTAGAATCCACCTATGATGAAGACAAGAGCAGAGAGCTTTTTTAGCATAGATTATATATTCTATTAATCACTGGTAGAGTCAAGGCAATAGATAAAAAAATGGAGGCCTCTATTAATGCGAAGATGCAAAGCCAGCTGAGGTGCAAACTGAGGGATAAGTTCTTGTTTTTTTCTTTTTAATGTTGTGTTTCTGCAGTCATGTTAACAGCTTAAAGAGACTGGTAGCATATAATTGGAAATCCCTATAGTAATCTTTCTCATTTCCATTTTCCAGCACAGTTTTATAAAGGGAGAGAGTGTAACTTACTGTACCTCATTCATAACATGTTCTCTCATTCGTAGCCTCTCTTCCTCCATCTCCACCATATCATCCTCTTCGTTTGTGGGGTCATAGATTTTTTCTAACTGAAATCACAAAAGTCCAAAAGTCAGTGCACTGTCACTAAATCATTACAAATTTTCAGATGCCATGGCTTTACCTCTTTGGTAAACAATGCCTCCAGCTCCTGTTCATCAAAGAAGCCATCTCCATTGGTATCTACATTATAAAGAAAGAAGAAAGACACTAAATACGCCATTTTCTGTTATATCTGACAATACATATTTTATATATATATACACACACACACACACACACACACACACACACACACACACACACACACACACACACACACACACACACACACACACACATATTATGTAGTACTGAATGAACGAACATCATCTCTCCGGTCTTCAACAGTTGCCGGATGGTAAAGGTCTTACCATGCAGGTTGAAAAAGGTCTTAGGGTCAAAATCTTCAGGGTCCAAACCATCAGCCTCCTCCCACACCTCCTTCAGTTGATTCTGGCTGCCCTGCAACGTGGAGGTAAAATCACATTTGAATTACAGTTGGATAAAAAACAACCTATTTCAACAATGTGGCACATTGCTTGAATGCTGAAAATACACAACATAAAACTCCAAAACCCACCATGGTTTATTTGCAGAACTCTTAAACTCTGGACTAAATAATGCAACAGGACACTGGATGGAAAGTTTCTTTTCCATAGCTGAGACAAAACACGTTATGTGTTTGTGTCATGTTATCTGTGCAACTAAGTCAAACGCACCGGGTGGTTAACTTTAGGGTGGTCAGCATGCTTCTTCCTCATCTCCTCATAGTGCTCCTCCTCTTTCTTTCTTTCATCCTCGTCCAGTGTTTTCAAGTGTTCCCGTCTGTCGTGCTCTTTCATCATTTCATACCTCTTGAACTCCTCGTGTCTTTCTTTGTCGTAGTTCTCCAGATCCTTAGTGGCCTTGATGTAGGGGAAAATTTTTCACAAGGGTTGGAAATTTACCTTGATTCAAATCAACATTAATATGGTGCAACAATTCGACCATCTGGAAACTACACTTAATTTTATTATATATTCTAGAACTGTTTCTTAATTTCTTAATGCTATTATCTCTCTCAGGTCATTACTTTAGCCTAAATAACCGTAACTCTAACCATTTCATTTTGAATGAAAATCAATTTGTAAAGACTTCAAGAATTCCATCATAGTGAACATTATCCTTGAAATAATTAGTCAAAGTCACTTTTTGGACACTGAACACATTTAAAAACAGGAGTAAGCATATCAAACTTGTTTTTAAATGTCTCTCTACTGCAGCACCTCACTGTGCCAAGACTAGGGATGGGACGATATACGATTTTAATCCCGATTTATGGCGATAAAAACCACTCACAATAAGGGAGATAATCTGACTGGAGATAATCGTTAATATCCTCGCAGTGACTTGAAAATACCGTCTTGTTCGCCAACATGCAGTCTTACATTGATTTACCTTGACTTGCCACAAGGGGGAGCCTGCATCTTTGCAGTCATTCCAAAATGCTACGCCTGTCACCATGGCTGAGAGCTCGGCTTGCCCATTGTATTCCCCACAAATTAAGTTAAATCGGATGTGTGGAAATACTATGGATTCCAAAACAAAAACGACAGGAAAACGAGAAGCCCACCTGCGGAATCAGAGTAAGGTGTCTGCCCCGCGGTCCATCACCTCCAATTTGAACTCTCATCTCCGTGACAACCACTTAGCTCTGTTCGCCGAGCTTCAGGTAAAATTAACTAATGTTACTGAGTTAGTTACTTAACGTAACGTACTTAAATATTAGTTAGATAAGTTATACTCAGTTTGCATTTAATTGAATGTTTGTTGCTTTGTGTTATCAAGCTAATGTTATCTAGGTGACGTTAGCTATGTATGCTCATTTGTATGTCGATTTTTCTGCTGTCTCGGACTGGAGCGCAGCTGCCGTCTCCGGGGAATTGACTGCAGTTAATTAGTTTTTCCCTCTAACGTTAACCGTAACATAAATTTGGCCACAGCTGATAAGGAACAGTTCAAATCAACATGAAATTTTAATATATGTCCCATTCCTAAACAGGACACAACATTTCTGTGTATTTTCCATCTGCCTTGTGTATGCTGCCCAATTACTAAACTAAAAATGTTACTTTAAATAAGTGAATAGTACAAAGATGACCTTAATTTAACACTTTTATAGCATGAAGTAACAATGAGATTTTACCGATTTGATGAGCCGATCTAGGTCATCCACTTCAAATGTATGTGGGTTCATGTGGTTCAAGTATTCAAACTGTTTCAGCAGAGCCTGGTGGTCCACTGCAATGTCTGTTCAGGGAGTAATCGGTGACATAAATTAAAATATAGACATACAGCTTTGCATTTTAGTTATATTTATCTCTAATTTACTATTTAGGTTGTAGCATCTTATCTTAAATATAAATCAAAATGAAATATAAATTTTGTTGCAGCACATACCATTCCCTCCTTCAATGTCTTGCTTGGCCTTGATCAGAGTTCGTAGTCGGTTTACCTCCTGCCTCTTCAACTCATCCAGTTTTGTTCTGACATGATGACTGACAAAGTCCAGCTCTTTGGCAAGTTTACCTTGCTGTGTTATACATGAATTATGCAAAAGTTAGTATTATTTACTCTTAATACACCTTTCATTAAAATAACTTTGCACCTACATTCCAAAAAAGAAGGAAAAAAAAAATGGATTGGTAGTCATCATTTTTTCCCCAGAAGATTTATCACATCCCTGGACAAGTGCAACCCCATCATTTACTAGTCAGAGTAATGACCTACTAACAGTTTACTCAGGGCTGGTGCAAATTTCCCACCATGCTAATATGACGAAAGCAAAGAAAAGCATGATACCTTGATGTCTTCCATGTCTGTATTGTGGAGCTTTTCTCTGAAATGTTGATCTTTCTCGAGAAAATCAATGACTTCCCTGAGGTAGCGGTCATAGTGGAGTCCAGTGTCCTATAAAATGTAACAAGTTAAATATCACTTAAATACTCTATTACAGATAATATGAGTAATTCTACAATGATCATCACGTTTTAGTTTTTTATGTTTATTATGCTTCTTTATGTGACAACATATTATTATTATTAATACTTGAGTGCTCTGATGTACTGAAGACAGAGTAACAGAATATTTGGCTTTCATAGCATATGTGTCTGCTAACCAACATAATAGATCTTCCCTCCAGATGTTAGATGTAGAGATGACAGGTTATGTCATGGACACCTATAAACTGTATTACTGTGTTCTGCAAATTGCCATTTTGCCACAGCTGTTCTGTAGTTAAAGACCACTTAATTATTCAACAATAAAAAGGTTGCAGTTATATGCATTCTTGCCTCTAGACAGAATCTACATGGTATTAGTTTAAACTGATGTCCACTATGTCAATATTTGACATGGACAAAGCCTTCCTGAGGCAGATGTTAGAGACTCCAATCTGTGCACTCATAAAGCTAGAACATCTGGCGTTGTTGTACTTATGATGAAATGGATTTTAGGGATAACAAGTTTTGAGTTCAGTGTCTGATTGAGGTAATTTAATTGTAGTGCAATTAAACATCAGACAGTCTCTCACTTAAATTAGTCCAGGTACTGTTCCGGAACTCTCTCGTGTTCCATAACATATTACTTCCTTCATATGAAGCAGCTGATAACAGCGACTGCATAGTATCAGGGCTAAAACTAATAAGTATACATTGTAAAAAGAATATTCACATCACAAGTTACCAAAACCCACTTAAATCTGCTCTCTCTGTCTGACCTCTAGCCCTCCAAAATGAAGAAAAGTAATATTGAACAGAAAATATGTCCATATTTGAGAAACTGAAATGAATAAAGTTTTGGGAATAATTAATTCATTATCAAATCCTCACCAAAATTTTGTTTGTGTTAACATAGACAGAAGTAACTGCTCTCGAATCTAATGCTACGTAGAGCTACCTACCATGGCTGTGACACCAAAGCACATAATGAATTTTCAACCTGTGTATACACATATACAGTGGGGGCCAAAAGTGGACTTTTGGATGTGATATGTACATTTTGTGTCTTCTCACCACACTTGCTGGAGGCTCTTCAGGTTTTTTCTCTGCCTCTTTGATTTTAGTCTTATCTATACTGATGGGCACTGCCTGTGTACACAACAGCTGGACCAGCAGTAGAAGCCAGCCGGTGAGAAAGGCCCGGCTCCAACACATCTGGCAATGAGGACAATTAATGTTATAACAGACTTCTATCACAGTGTTATTCACATTATACAGTATATGAAAATAAATGCTCGACGTGGTAAACAAAGTAAACAAGGATCGTTGTGTGGCGAGCTTCCTCATTACCGCTTATTCAAACAGCACCTTTAGCCTGCATAGGTTGTACATTATTGGCTAGGCAGCTAATAATATCCAGAGGAAGCTTTAGCTCTGCTACTGAGATTAAGCTAATGACAGTCAAGCACCGAAAAGCTAGCAACTCAAGTAACGTTAAGCCGCCAGTTTAAGCAGCGCAGCTAATGTCAGAGTGATATTAAAAGCTTCATTAAAATGCAAAATAGATGTGTGTCATTGGTATACTGACTTTATTATGAGTCCTGGACATCATCTGGTCTGCTTTCCTTCCGTCGGCAGCTAGCTAGCTAGTGAGCACGGTAGGTTGTGAGAGTGGTAGTATTAATCGCAGTGGTCAGTTCCGTTTTCTGTCACACGGACTAGCAAGTTGCGTTGCATTGTATCGTACGTGGCGACATGACGATGGAGCAGGTGGGCGGGCCCTTCGTGTTTCTTATTGAATCGATAACAGCTATTGGAAAGAGTGGAGGTCAGGAAACAGTGATGTGAGGTAGATAAAACCAGCGGTGCTGAATGGTAATGTGTGGCTTTTATGAGATCTGTTTTCCTGCTTTTTCTCCGTCTATTAGGCTACTGTTTTTTTTCCATTCGTACTTATTCCCCTATTTATTTCTAATGAATTTAATTGACTAAGCTGTATCTGATGGACTAGAATAATATTCACACGACGTTTGTGTTTTTTATTATTTCATTTGTAAAAAAAAATTGTAAATTAAAAAATAATAATAAATTGACTAACTTTGATGCTTCTACTATTCCCATGGATATTTTTAGACTACTTAAGTAAAACACACAGAAAAATTGAAGCACAATGCTAAACAAACACAATGTTACAACAAAAGACCTCAAATAACTAAAACAGTTTTAAAGCTATATTTTGATGTCTGACACTCTTTCTTCTTTATCAGTCTTTACTGTGCTTTCTGTAAAGAAAGGGTGTAAACTCTCCAAAACTGCAGTTCCACCTCAGTTTTTTCTCAACTCAGGAAGCAGCAGTCTGTGATTAATGGGTCCAAGTCCACCTCTCACCCCAGCCCTGCTCACTGGTCCCATGGGGAGATCTTCCATGGAACCTTGTGGCTGTACTTACAGATGGTCATACCCATCTCAACGCCTCCTCATCTTACAGTCTGATGAAAACAAGACTGTTGTTCCAAAGACATTCTATTTGTGCAGTTTTCTGTAAATCCTTTAGTGGACAAGTTCTGATTGTAGTTTATGTAAACAACAGATATTGGGGATCCATCAATACTATGTGATTTAATTTGTAAATGTACATTATTGGTAGTTATGTTATGTGCAGAGTCATGTGCTGAGCTGTCAGTCCTCCAGCTGAGGGCACTGTTGCAATGTCTTGAGTTCATTCTTAATGTCTATTCAGACTTTACTTAACTGGTCCAACATGCCAGAAGGCACAGAAGTTAATGAGTGAGTTATCAAAACCAATTAGAGACTATGATCCCTATTAGCACCTGCAGCAGCAGTTCTTCTGTTAATTTAGTTAAATTGTAAACACCGAAAATTACAGCAAATCAAATATACTTCAAGAGAAAAGATTTAAATTGTGGTGAAATTAGATATCCTCTTAGAGGACACTCTAAACAGCTGCTTGGACCAGCTTGGATAAAGACATAAATTAGTTGTCGGGGAGTTGTAAAAACACTGGCTTTCAACCGGAACTACGAGTGTTAGAAAAAAATATACAGAGTTTTTATGATCTTTGGCAGGTACAGAGAGACAATTAATCTAATTTTATCTGGATCAGTTGGCTTATGACTAAATATATAACATCCCTGCCCTGTAGATGTCACTGTAATAGTTCAATGATCTGGAAGGCAATTCATCATCGTGTTAGATCATAATCATAGCGTGGAAAGCTAAAGAAAACTGGAGCAGATGGAGAATATCAGCACTTCTTTTTAAGCAACAACTATATGATGATTAAATGCTCTGCACAATGAAGATTATGATTAGCTGCATAAACGTGTAGGCAGCTTTTTCATGTTTGTGAAAGTCATTTTAACCAGTTTACATACAGTTGTGGTATTTTAATTTATAAAAATCTAAATTAAAAAGGTGACAAGTAGCTACAGCTGTCAGATAAATGTAGTGGAGTGAAACATACAATATTTTCCTCTGAAATGTTGTGGAGCTGAAAATGAAAATGCTCAAGTGAAGTCAAAGTATTTCAATATTGCACTTAAGTACAGTACTTGAGTAAATTTATTTTTGTTACATTCCAGAGGGTAAACTCTTCTGAATCCTCAGAAATTTGATGAATCTGGGTTTAATGTAGGTTGAATGGCATCCACTACAGTACTAACATGCTGTTTTTAAAGACAACTGCTTTGAAATTTATAGATCTTGTGGACTTTGAGACTGCACACATAATGTACAAAGCAAATAATTTATTTTCCTGGCAACATACAAAAATGTTATTAAACAGAGAGGGGGTGTCTAACTTCAGAGGAAAATTTAATTTAATAAACACTGTGTTCGTACCAATCCCAAGAGTGTGTGTATTTCAATTTGTGGAGTGACTTTGTGGAATGGTCTTGATGTAGGACTCAGAGTAAAAATATCAAACAGTTTAAAAAGATGTACAAAAAAAAACACCCTTTTTGGAGCGGTATAGAGTTGAGGAAGTGGCCTTGTTTGTCTAAAGAATGTGATGCTCAATGATGATGATGTTGTATGTTTGTATAAAGAGTGTCTTAGTAAGACAGTCGGCCATCACGAGATGCTAAAACAGATTTATTGCTCCTAAGCATAGATTGATGCTGGTGGAGGGCACTGCTAATACATCTCCTTTAGGTTTTCAACTGGGATTAAGGCCTAAGCATATGATTCACATCAGTTTCAAACTCATCAACCCATTCATTAACCCACTGTGCCCTGTATGAAAGCAGATGCATTTGTTATGTTTCTACACTTATTTATTCAGCTCTTCTGTTTAATTTGCGATTCTTCTGTAGATATAATAATAAATTTAATAATTCATTTCTTATGTGTCCTATATGAACAGAAACCCTATAGATAGAGTTAGAAACATACTATAGCAGAGGAAATCCTTTTATCCTTTGACTCTCCTGTCAAGTAGATAAGACTTTAAAAGATTTACAATGAATTGGTTTCTTCACAGCAGCTGTACTATAATAGTTTTTAGAGGAAGTGTTTTATCTCCCACTATCTTTGAACAACAGTGCCTTAAACCACTGGAGAATGTTTCAACAAAGCCTCCCCAAAAGGAAATCACAGATCAAATATTTATGGTGTTGACAGATGTTTGTTTCTCTCTGCCCACTGACACAGTATTTTCTTTCCACACAGGACACATGAAGATTACTGTAGGAAACACAAGGAACTCACATAATGTTACATGGACATGATCATATTCATTAAAATGCATTTCTATAAGAGAGTGTGGCATTATGAAGTCAAACCTTTCTGCTTGTCTCTTGGTTGCTCCTGTGCCAACGTTACTGTGACTTTGAATACTGCCTGCCCTCACATAGCCCACATGAAATTTATGGGCAGCATTGGTAAATTGGGCAGGTCTGTTTGATGCAGTGTAAGCATTATTGTAATGTGTCACGGTCAGGCAGGCTCTCTGTCCTGACTGCAGTGAAGGTGACATGAGGCTGACAAACTTCACCTAAAGCTTCCGGTATAATTTATACATGGGTACACAATTACTCACACATGCAGGCAAGCTCTGCTCAACACCCACACACAATGACAGTTTAAAACTTTGTAGCAGTCAAATGTTTTTTTTATTTGTTTGTCTCAAGGGATTTCTATAGGCCTCCAATTTTCATTTCTATGCATAACTACAGAAAAACATTAAAATACAACAATTTGATTTCCTTTCTTGAATCCAATATTCGTAGAAGTTTTTGTACAGTTATTGCAACAGCAAGACATCTGAATCAATAGATAAGTTTAAATACATTTTGTTTATTGTAAACTTTGCCTCAAGAAAATTACATCAACAGAAGAGGGTGTATTATAATGCTTTTTTTTTGTTTATTTAACTGCCATATGTATATATAAAAATTCTGTTGAAGGGAAGAATATTGAAACTACTGACTTTGTTTTGATCCAACCTTTGTTAAATCTGCTTTAGAGAGGACTCATGGTATCTTCACTCTGGGCTTTCACAGTTTTGTCGTCATGACTCACCCAAGGGCAAAGTTGATTAACACACCTCTGGTCATCTGAGTTAAAATGTAGACAAAGCCTCCGAACCAAAACCTCACCTAGTTGGCCTTGAGCCTGGAAATGTTTTGTGTTGTCTGACTTAATCCTTGTTTGTGACCAGCTTTCTCCTCTTTCTGCATAACTTTTCCCTCTGTGAAATATTTGGACGGCTGTACTCTCAAACATTCCTAATTACAAAGGACTGACAAACTGGCTGAAAATTATAATTAGCTCATACTTAAAATTCCCTTGTCCCCTCGGACATGACTGTCTCCTGTCTCTTATAAGCCTGTGATAAAACATTTCTTGGAGGATGCTTGTGTAATCACTCTTTCTCTCTCCCACACACACTTCCACAGCTTGAGAAGAGATGACTGAGCAGGTTAATTTCTTGTGGTTCAACTGAGATATGTAATCCTTTAATATCCCTTAAGACTTACATTTTGCCTTAGAGTGTATGTAGAATCTCCCTGAAATTATTACAGGATTACTCCATGTTTTCTTAATTTTTGCTTCATTAATATGACAAAAATCATTGCCCTGAACGGTCCAGTGCTTAAATCCAGTGCACTACTACTACACCTAAGGGGCTACCTTACTTTCCTCCGCAGTGGGCTTCATTTCCTTTTCCATTGTAGAGGTCTGAGCTATGTTTTAATCACCTAGCAGCCAGCCGCTCGTGGGAACAGGTTAGCTCGTTTTCGTCTGCTCAAGGAGCCTCGGAGGGGAGTCTGTCGCCCAGTTTGGTATTCTTCCCCTTTAAAAACTATGCAGCCCTAGCGGTGGTTTTGTCTGGGCTCCCTCGAAAAAAGTCTGCGGACTGGAGAGAGGGAGAGAGGGAGAGACGGAGAGAGGGAGAGAGGAGGGGAGGGAGGGGGGACAAGCCGAGCCAGAGACGAGAGATCATGGCGGCACCTCTCGGACGGGACACCCTACCTGACCACTGGTCGTATGGAGTTTGTAGAGATGGCCGGGTATTCTTTATTAAGTGAGTGGCTTTTAGTGGTCGACGCTCGATACTTTACGAGTCATTATGTTAACACGTTGCGGAGGGTTTTTGTTGTTTTATAATGGTTCAGTAACAGGTGTCTTTCTTGCAGTGATAAAACTCATAGCACTACTTGGCTACATCCACGCACTGGTGAGCCGGTTAACTCGGGACACATGATCCGGTCAGGTACGCGACAAATTATCAGATTTGTGGGACACCAAGGGGACATTTGTTTTTTGCTGCAGTGTGTTTTCTGTCTGTGGTGGGTCGTTCAGTGTGTTTTTGTCCGTGTTATAGACTTGCCAAGAGGATGGGAAGAAGGCTTCACGGACGAAGGAGCCAGCTACTTCATCAAGTAAGTGGCTCATGAACATTGCTGCGTTATTTGACCGTGTACTATTTGATGTCATTAGGTGGTTGTTTGGTTTTAAAGTGCTGCGTGTAAATTGCTTTTCTAACTCATTTCGTTTCCTTTCTGTCACTGTGTGTGTCTTAACGCTGCCGCTCAAACTAGACTAAAAAGGCTGCACTGTAAACACACTATTGTATATAAAATATGTATGTAGGCTGTAATGATGCTGACATATGTATGAACACACAGGGGTCCCATCTGATAGGTGAAACCAATTATCTCTGCCTGCATTGTGAATGGAAAGTCGCAGTGCCTAGCAGGACAGGAGAGAGGCTATTAAAATTCTCCTCACATCCTCCATGCAGGACCTCTACTCTCTCCATTAGATAGGTGTACAGCCTTGGTGTGTGTGTGTGTGTGTGTGTGTGTGTGTGTGTGTGGCAATAAGAGAGAGAGGGGGAGAGAGAGAGATTGAGACTGTAAAGGTTGCAGGAGAGGGGTGTGACCATGTGGTGACATAGATAAATGGCATGATTGCATTATTGAAACAGAGAGGACAAGAATTTCCAAAGTCACAGACTGAAGTTTTTTTTGGCAGATTTTCACATCCTTCCCACAATTATAATTGTAAGACTCAGGTTTGAAATCAGAGAAAGGCACCATACCATCAGTACCACACTGGCTTATGTGCATTATATTTGCATTTTTATCTGCAGTGTTTCATACCGTGGGTTTTTGTGTAGATTCTGGTCTGTCGCTGTCAGTGTATATCAGATGGTTACTATGAGGCAAAGCAGGACACAACAGCATCCAGCAAATCAGGCTAACAACAACAAACAGAAAGCATACTGTAAAACCAAGTGGAGACGTAAATTCTTCATTGGAGCTGGATCATTGTGAACTACAGTGACTCCTCCCACAGTAGCCTGTTTAAAGTTTTGTAGTTCCACTACCCGTACTCTTGTCATGGCCCTTTTAGTTTGCCCCATTTGTTCCAGACAGAGGGCCTGTATGGAGAGGTTTTATATCCCCATAGTTGCAGTCTTTCTGAGGTTGATCGTTACTAATAAAAGGTCTTTGCTCAACCACACGTAGTGCTCTGCAGACACCACTTTGTATCACTGAATTACTATAATACTATAATAGCTGCTTTAATAATAAAGCTCATCACTGATTACAAATTCTAAATTCTGAATCGAGGTTGCACTGAATCCAGCAAATGGATGTCCATAGCGCTTCGAAAGATATTCTGGCATCCAAAGATGTGGGCTTTAATAAACCAAATTAAATAGTTTCAGCTTACAAATTTGTTGTCGCTGACACTTATATTGCGTTTAGAATAAAGGTGGTCTTTCTGTTTCCCTTGTTAACTCACTATTTCTCTGTAAGGCGCTAGAACAATGCAACAGTGAAGTTGTGTGATATATGGTAGCCTAAATGTCAGGGCAGTTAAATCAGTCGACTACTTGCTGCCCAGTTGGCTTGGTGGAAAGATCCTGTTTTTCTCCTGCTCCCCGCTTGTGTCTTTGTTTTCCATGGCTAATTTCTTGGAGTCAACCAGTGGACAGGAACAAAGCAAGACTGTTGTTGTGTTTCGTTAGACTTGAGTCTTGAGCACAGTTGACATCTTTCCATGTTCTTTTGGTGTGTGAAAGAAAGTCAAATCATTGTGTGTTTGCCAGAGTAAGTAAAAATGATTAATGATTGTTTTAATTTATGATGTGATTGTATCTTGGAAAATTCCTAATATGGCAATATCTTGGCTCATATTAAACATTTCTAAATAATGGCAAGGTGAATCTACAAATTCAAAGTGAACCTAAATTTGAGCTTCTCATGTGATTTTGACTATAAACATTTTTGACAGTAAATTGTAACATTTTAAAATTGATATAATGCTGTAATAATGATCACAATATAAGGGTGTATATATTAGCCAGGTATAAATGTACATAGATAATTACGAAATACCAAAAATGTTGTTAAAACACAGCATCAATTCAACTGCTGTTAGACTAATTGATTGATCTTTGTTTAATTCTTGAAGCATTATTCTCTTGTGATGGAGTACTGTCATTTTCTCACTGTGAGAGGGTTTATCTCTGGTGGTTTATTCGTTTCATTGCACACATAGATGATGCCAGGTTTCTACATTTGTCTCAAGCTTACCTGACTTTTAACACTAGCACTCAAACTGTAAGAGTGGATACAAGGGTCAGGTTAATTTATTACTGCTTTGGTCTTAAAACAAGACTTAGTTTGGCAGATTAAAGGTCGAAAACAGCCAACTCTCCAGGAATATCTTAACAGCTTTGGTGCAAGATATGCTTTACTGTAGTTATTAATGTTAGCTGGCAAAGCTCAAACACAGAAGACAGTGAAGATGGCTCCAGCTGAATGGGATTATTCCTTAAAATGACATTAGAAAAATTGGTAAGGGACAGGACAACTTGCACTGTGACCTTATTTCAGACCATTAAAATCATCACAAATGTTAGTTTTTAATTTACAACTGGCTACAACTCAGCATTTTAAAATTGCTATTAATACCACAGGGACAACCAACATTAGTGCAGAGGGTGAGTTTATTTTCCTGCAAATCATAGTTCTTTTGTTTGATAAAAATTTGATCTCATACTCAAATGATTTTGATTTAAACAACAGACTTGAAATGGACAATCATATTTTTTAGCACAAAGCAAGTCAGTTCTTTGATATAAACCGTGCAATCAGTGCTCTTAGCTGTCCAGGAACCACATAGCAACAAACTCAAGCAGGATTGAAGTCCACGCTGCTGTGACAACAGTCGGTAGATTTGGTTGTGTGTTGATGGTGGAATCTAGCCGAGTTGCAGTACAAAGAAGGGATTGTTCAGACACTGCTGGTGTGGAAAAACTCACATTTATTTACACCTCGTTCTGTAGGCCAGCCTGCAGCCTGCAGACCTGAACTATCTGATTAATGGTTGCTGATTTTATGTTCAGTGTACAGAACATTCCAAGTGTAAGTTTCATCTTTTTTCTGTCTCTCAGCTCATACCAAGAAGGATATATAAATGATAAAATATAGTTTGAATTGACCAGTTTTTCCATGGAACATTTTAGTCTCTGTACTTCTGATATACTCTCATCACATCATTAACAAATCAATAGACCAAACTGCGAAAATTGGAGGAGGTCATTGTTAAAGCTAATGGGCGAGGTCTATTGTCATCTGTGGCAGCATATTGAAATGGGGTGTTACTTTCTGGCTGTCATACTTCTGGCAAATCTTCAAGGAAGTGACCCACTTTGAAAATCATCTTCCAAAATCATCCCATTTCAATCCCTGAAGATAATATGCTGCAGATGAAGCAGGTCTGTAGTTCAGGTCTGTGTGTTGAGGTTGACACATCTAATGGATGTACATCAATAAAAGCAACTAGAAAGCAAAACAAGGCTGAAAATCCATATGTGTAGCAATGATGTGCATAACATACTGTGTAATACAACACAACTAAGTTAAACTTAATCCTTTTCAAGTTATAGAAGTACAATTTCATCAGCCTTAATGTATTCTCAATATAGGTAATACAAATAATATTAACAGCCTGTAAACTAAAGACTAAGAATATTAATATGATTACTATAATAATTGTAAATTATATGATTAATCAATCTCATAGATTTTCATAGGAGGTTGTGTTAAGTAATTCCCAGGTAAAAGCAGGAGAACAGAGTTCAGAGAGGTTTACTCTGCCACATCGCTGGCACTCACTGAACATAGGGAATGTGCAATTCTATAGCTCCCTGAGGGAAAAAATGACCCCACTGAGGTACAATGGTGTCCTGTTGAGGACATAGTCCACATTGTTGAATGGGCTTACAATGCTGTGGGACAGTCCAGGAAGAAGTGTTTGACATCCATACTAAAAACTCACGTAGGTTTCGCACAAAAATGGCATGCTGGGTTTCTGTCTCAACCTCATTTACTCATGACATATGATAAACCTCATCACTATTTTATTATTGTCTCAGATTTTTAGAAGTGTTTATCCTCCCATTCTCCTGCTGCTTGTTATGTTTTTTTTTTTTTTTTTAAAGCTAACTGTTTTTGATCAGGACAGTGTGAGTTAATTAGCCATGAGATGTTTTGGTAGTTTTGAAGCAGGGCATTTTAATAGATAAAAAAGAAGTTTAGTATCCCTACAGGCCCTTATCTTAAGGCTGACTTAATGAAGCTTTCTTTTTCTGCAGACACAGCAAATCCACACCTCATTGCACAGTTCAAAACATTATTGCCAATAAAGATAGGACAAAAACTTGCCCTAAAGTCCACAAATGACCTTTGCCCTCCCAGATTATAGATTCTTTTACATGAAATATATTAATGTGTATTTGTAGGGTTACCATAGAAAAATAATTGTATGTAACTTGAACTATTTGGGAATATTGTGCCCCTATTGTGTCACAGGACTTTTAAACTTTTAAAGTGAGGTAGAACGTCTCTCTATGTGCAGGGCTACTCTGTGTGAGATAACTTGGTGGATTAAAGATATGAGTTTTGTTTGACAGACAACACTTTTGAAGTGTTCCCAACTGGTCCTCCTTTGGACTCAGGCAGGAAGACAGCCCAGTTAGTTTTTATTTTTCAAAGAAGCGAAAAAGGAGTGGAAACTCACCACTTCAGAAATGGTCAATGTTCAGATTAAGACTGCAACGATGACCTCAAACTTCATCCTTAACAAAATTCACTGACATTACTCTAAAATACCAGTGAGTGTTGCAGATGAGACTGACTACTGTTAGATTTACTTTGACATTGCTTGGTAATCTTTGTTGAGTGCCATGGGAAGTAATGAAAGAAGACTGAAAAAACATCAATTAAAAGCAATGAGGTAGAACTTCTCTTCACTCCTCACTGACAGTCTATTTAAGTAGAGCAGTCCTCTGTGGATACCAACATAGAAATTGATATCTATAAATCTATTGTGCTTTCTGAGAGAGTGATTGTGTATATACCAT